TTACCTTTCCGAGCGGAATCAGAAACCGCAAAGGCTCGAATCCTTACGAGGCAGACAGATTTTTTGTTGGTCCACGCTCGTTACAAATTCGCACAACTTTCCTTGGCCTATGCTCTTTTCTTGTACTTTTACATCTTGTTTTTGTTTATTATTCGTTTCCTGTATAAAAGTTCATTTCCTCCTTCTTTCGTCCATCCATTTATCCACCCATTCGTCTGGTTTCCGGTCAACTCGTCGCCACAACAAACTCGCCACAACTGAAGGTCAAATCGCCACTGGTGGTGATTTGACTCAGACGTTATTTGTGGCGTCTCGAATGAAACTTATATTAAATAAGAGCTTAGTATAGAACCATACGCGAACAGACACAAACCTGCTTCCCTTTTTCTTTTTTTCGCTCTGTAGCCACTGTTGCGCCGTTTTACTAACGGAACGCTGGGAACAGGCTACTCTTTACATCGCTCCAACAGTCTCTTTGTCAGGTCGTCCGAACATTTTCTTCCTGTTCGCTTTTCTGTTCAGCCGCCAATTTGTTATCCGTGAACTTCAGGGAGACTGACCATAAGTCTTTATTAATCTCCCTGAATCGCTGTTTTTAACTCTATCTTCAGGTCGATGAAGCTGCATTAAAGAAGAGACACGAACAAGGGTAAGATTTGCCTCATGGTATTATTGGTCCAGGCTTTTTGTCTCCGCATTAGCCGACCAAACAATATTCAATGTTCCAAGAAGATTTGCACACGAGAGATTCTGAGTCAAAGTGCCCAAACGGTGACATGTGCTATTAAAGTACCTCGTTCCAGGCAACTTTGAGTTTTGCTAAGTGATATATGATGGGGATGCCCTTTGTTTTTTTTTTTTTTTATTCAGGTGGCTCATGGAATACTCATCCGATGTTGACCAATGTGTGGAGATGATCAGGTACGTGCTACGCACGGCACTTAAAAAAGCAAATAACTCTTTTAGTTAAATAAGGGTTTATAAATTTTATTCTTCCTGAGCTCCTTTTTTCGATTTTGTTTTAAGGGGAAATCACATGGTGGCTTATAGCGGTAAAAAAAGATACGACAAAATTGATCAGGGAGATCGGAGAATTTTTTTTCCATGTTGGACAGTAAGATTTCGAATAGTGAAGCTATCATATGTCTTTGGACAAATTCACTCAACAGGTGTTGTCTGCGATTGTAGATAGAATCGAGAGCTCTGGCCGGGGTTGTGTTGTGCGCTAAACTATCACTGGACCTCTCTCCACCCAAGAGTATTTCAACTGTTTTCTCTCTTAACGTAAATGACTACGCTAATTTTTTTTCAGGAAAGCGCGAGAGTCGAAGAAGCCTTGCAGCTTGGGATATCATGGCAATGTTGTCGACTTGTGGTATATATTCTTGTCTTTCCTAAACTTCTTTGTTCGTCTTGTTTTTGAAGTGATATTTTTAGTAGTCAGAGACCTTTTCAGTTTACGGTCGTGAGTCAGAAATGAAAACCTTTGTCGAGATTTCCCTTCATAAATCCTTTCCCATGTTTTATGAGCTTTTCATAAGGATTTAAAGGGCGCTTCCTGAAAGAACTTGATTAACCCTGTAGCTCCCATGGGTGACCAAGACAGAATTTCTCCTTACAACGTCAATACAATATTGAATAGTGAGAATGAAGAAAAATATCAATTTGGGGATAATAAGTAGATCCAATACTGAATTCTCTGAACTAACATCATAAGAATTTTATGACTGACAGTAAGGAGAATTACTAATTGGATCTGGAAGTTTAAGGGTTAAATGAGAGCTCAGATTCAAATGTACTCAGCAAACTATTTGACGCGCGTTAAAAGGCGAGTGACAAATTCGCGAATGGATTTAGTTTCGTGTTTGATTGGTTGTGAAAATGGCGCGCGTTCTGCTCGCCCAAAACTAGTGCAACTCCGGATTGTTTTTCAAGCCCTTTAAAACTATCCTTAAGTACTTCTTTGTTGCTTGCTTACAGGGAGCGTCTTGAACAAGAATATGAAAAGAGTGGCGATCTTCTTGTGGAGCTGGGCTCGGATCAAACATCACTTCATAATCCCTTTAATGGAGGTTACTACCCTGTTCAGGTTAGTATCAACTCGAAAGCAAATCTGTTTCCCCAGATCTCGTCTTGTCTTCTATAATCTGATTTTGCTACCCATGTGTTTTTCGTTGACACATTTCGTAAATTCATGAAGCTTCTTTGGTTGGTTTATCGTTGGTTGATCTAGGTAACCTTTGAGGAAGCTAAAATAATTATGAAACGGGAACCAGAAAGATTCAAAGCTCTCGTCCAAGAGAGGTGAGGAAATGAGCTTCCTTCTGCTTCAAGCTGTACAGCTGTTCACTTGTTTATTGCCAAATTTTGTCGCTCTAAAATAAACTTCACTTATTTTATGTTGTACGGTGGGTTTTGTTTTCTTATGCTTTGGCTTTGCTGTTTTTGCTTTTTCGATTCTACCTTTGTCTATTTTAGCGACCTATTTTGCACTTGCGTTATAGAAATCACTAGTTTGGTACATTAATTTTTCCTAGACTGATATAGCGCGGTAATAGTCTCAACAGACCCTAGGCAGTCGGAACTACAATGCCGAGAAAGACATCGTTTTAAAAAAATTGAATGTTTATTTTTAAATAGAATTCGCGAATGGCTGCATGTGTTTACGTCTCTTACGGCGAAACACCTCAACTTCAGCATAACGTTTATAAGCAGCGTTGACTTCCAAATGGAAACTACGGGGTTTCCGTTTCCAGACCACGTATATTTTGATGATTTCACATTGTTGTTTAGCAGAGGACGGCTAAGAAATGTACAAATTTTAAAACGCACGTGCTGAGTCATTGTTTTAGCCATTAGGTTTTTTGTTTTGCCACGTTACCGTCGCCGTCGTGGTTTGCTTAAAAGGAGTTGAAGAAAACCACGACGAGAACGTCACTAAACAAAAGGTTTAATGAGAAGAGCAGTGGCTATCCACGTGCGTTATAAATATTTGTAAATTTCTATGCGCCCTCTGCAAAACAACAACGTGAAATGACCAAACTCTGCGTTCTCTGGAAAACGTGGTCGACGAAGGCTAATTTTTTAAATTTCTATCTCTAATTTAACGCTGCGTTCCATATTCAGTTTCGAGATAGTTTTGACAGTGAGAAACAAACTAAATGACTTTAGAGTATCGCAAGATTCTTAAGTAAAACTTAAGCTCATTTTTAACTGACGTTGTCCACGGCGTCACCGTCGTCATTTCTTAAATTTTGTAATGTCACTGATACAATAACGACGGTGTGGTTCTATATTTTGCCCAAATTAACGACAAAAGATAAATAAATACTGCCCCGAAGGTGGCTGCTAAGCTCTAAGTTCAATAGTTTAATAGTAGCTGGTCTGAAAATGGTTAGAAAGGGCACTTGGATAGTTACTGTTTATTGTACCATTTCAGCTTACGTCGACAAGTGGCAGCGATTAATAAACTCACTGATGGTGGAATGTTCTTTTGGGACTATGGAAATGCGTTCCTTTTAGAGGCAAGTCGTGCAGGTGAGTGTGGACATCATGGCCACTGATTAAAATTGCTTCCCCTCTTAATTTATGTTTTCCCTATGTTTTTTAGATTTTTCCTTTTCCATCAATCTTGATTTTTCCCTTTTCTGTTTTTTCTTATCTGCATAGGAGCTGATGTCAACAAAGAGAGTGCTCCACCGGGCGTTTTCCGTTACCCCTCTTATGTACAAGATATTATGGGGTATGATTCATGATGAATAATTATTAACACGAAAGATTATTCTCAAAACCTTCAAAATTGTAATGTTATTGGTAATTCAAGCAGTTTAGTGGCATGCAAGAGAAACCCAAATAAGAAGCAATTTGCAATTCAATTCTCATAGATAGCTGCAGTCTTGTCATATTTCTTCGCGAATGGTGCACTGGTGATTGATATGCATCAATCTTTAAGAGTTCCTCATTTTCATCTTTGGTATATGTACCATATATTAATAATCTTTTTCCTTCCTTTCTGTCCATCTCAGGGTACGTTATTGTGCTGTTCTTTGGTTCATATACAAGATTTCCTTTTTTCTTTTTTTCCTTAGGGATATATTTTCTTTGGGATTTGGGCCGTTCAGGTGAGTTAATTACAAGGTGTTACACATGTATCGACAATGATCAAAAATCACGAGCAATGACCCTTGCAATTTAGCTGCAATTTATCATTATTAATAATATTTAATAATAACATTTAATATTTATATAGCACAAATTAACATACAGGAGGATATGATCAAATGAGCTTATTATCATTAGCGTTATCATTATTGATGTAATTCATCTTATTTCATTCCACAGGTGGGTCTGCACGACAGGCCTGGCAGCTGATTTAGCGACAACAGACGAGATTGCCAAAAAAGTCTTCCGAGAAATTATTGCGGAAGGATGTAAGTTCAAGTTCATTTGTTTGTTTGTTTGTTGGCTTCACTTTTAACAGGTTTGATTTTAGGGTATAAATTATTTTCCTTGGTTTCAGTGCCCGCTAATGTCCAGGCGCAATATGAGGATAATTTGAAGTGGATCGAGGAGGCTCATCAACATAATCTGGTTAGACGCTATATTCTTTAATATTATATATGTAGATATATCTGCTTGGGTTGCGCTGCTGCATTCTGATTGGCTGTGTTACTCGCTATCTATGCCATCGTAGATAACGAGTAAAGTGAGTTGTCTAACAGTGTGCTTTTTTGAAAAAATAAAATAAAAACACGAGGTTGTCTTGTGGTGAAGTTTCAAACAGAATCGCAAATTTCATACTAAAAGAATCACATTATTCACCCTTGATTCGTATCCTTGCTAGGTAACTGGCCCTTGCCCACTTTGATTATCACAAGATAGAAATCTCGAGCCATAACTTAATTGTTCATTTTGGCACATTGTCACTATTTTAAGGAATACACAGTTAAAGGTGTTTAACTCTAACCAGACCCTCCCCTCCCCCCTCCTCTCCTTTTACTCCGCCACTCCGTCCACTACTCATGGGACGTTAAACAATGATGAAAAGAGCGATTTTCGATTGAGTATCGCAAAACCGAAGCTAGTGTTATCACAAAGGCCAATGTGAAGAAAAGAAAATACCTTAAAGAGCCATTGAGAACTCAAAGTAAAAACAACCAAACAACCTAAAGCGCGGGAAAACGCGGACCAAGCCGTGATTGGTTTTAGAGTTGCATCTGATTGGTCGAGAAAGCGGTACGAGTTTTCTGGACCAATCACAGAGCGAGGTAACGCAATACCAAAGCAATCCCAGAATTCTTTCGACACTCAATTGAAAATTGCCCTAACGGTACTAAAATGAATAAATCGGATTCAGCAAAAGACATCCACGAAGTGGTGGTTCTTATTTGAACACCATTTCCAGTTCGATTTGAATGTGGGAGTGCTGCTTTTGGGGAGGGACAAGGTAAAGTACTGATCAAGGGAAATTGTGTTCGACTTTCAGGTTGTTGGATCTCAAGCACGGATTTTATACTCCGATCAGCGAGGCCGCGTTGCTCTTGCAGAGGCATTTAATATGGCAATACGTGACGGGATATTGTCGGTCAGTGGTTTAGCGTTTTGACATGCATTTTTTAAACTATGTAATGAGCAGTTTAACCCTTCCACTGCCAAGATCTCTTAAGGATAAATTCTCCGCACTGTCTACCATACAATTCGAATGATGTTAGTTCAGAGAATTTGGTATCGGATCAACTAAGAATCCACTGATTGATTTTTTTTCTTTTTCGTTATCACCTGTCTACTCATATTTTATTGATGTTGTGAGGAGAAAAGGAGAAATTCTGTCTTGGCCACTCATGGGAATGAAATGGTTCAAAGAGTGATTTTTACATTTAGTCGCTCTCCTAAGAGGATTAATATGAGGCTACGCATAATAATGATAATAGGCAAACAAACAAACAAACAAGCAACAACAACAAAAAACAAACAGCGAAAAACCGAAATAGGCTAAGCTACCCTATAATTAATAGTAGAGGATAATGAGGCACCTCATTTACAAGACCTATTTCTTTACCACGTCTATGAAAGCATACCTCCTTCCCTAGCTAATGACTATATTAATCCACGGTACCTTTCCAGGGTTGTGTTGTTATCAGTCGGGACCACCATGATGTCAGTGGAACGGACAGGTAAACTGATAGAGCTTTATCACTGGTGGAGAATTCTTATTTAACTAAGTGCCGTCTTTTATTTTGGCTCATCTGGGGTATTATTGTAAGAACCGATCTTCATTTCGTAAAGAAGAAATTTTACTTGTGAAGAAACATACTGCCACGACAGATTACGACTAAAAGTGTTCTTTATTAGGTTTGCAACGATTTTATTGGGAAAAAAAAAGAAACATTAATTTTTCCAACGTGCCTTTGGACAAGCGTTCACATAATATGTTCGTTGCTTCCTAAATCATCCCTGACTTTCTACTTTTATGCATAATGTTTTGTTTGTTTTTAAGTCCATACCGAGAGACTTCAAATGTCTACGATGGATCTAGTTTCTGTGCAGGTTTGTGGTTGAATAGTAAAGCTCTGTTCTGTTTACATTTCTTAAGATACTGACAAGAGAATTTGTTTAACAATCAAGAGCTTCTTAAGTTGTTTGATCTAGAAGTGACACCGCGAAGAGAAATAAGATGTGGAGTCACTCTTAGGTGTTCAAGGGTTAAGATAACACGTGATCTAAATGGTGCAACTGAAATACTCATGTTAATGTTGTTATTTCCAGTATTGATAATGTTTGCTTATATTTTTGTTTCCTGCAGACATGGCGGTTCAAAATGTAATCGGAGATTCATTCCGTGGAGCTACATGGGTCGCTCTTCATAACGGGGGAGGAGTGGGATGGTAAGTTTTCATGACGGGGGAGGAGTGGGATAATAAGTTTTCATAACGGGGGTGCAGTGGGATGGTAAGTCTTCATAACCGGGGTGCAGTGGGATGGTAAGTCTTAATAACTGGGGTGCAGTGGGAAGGTAAGTCTTCATAACTGGGGTGCAGTGGGATGGTAAGTCTTCATAGCAAGGGTGGAGTGGGATGGTGAGATCGAATATCTCTGCCTTTCCCCGCCAAGAGAGAAACGCACCGGCAATCAGTTCTTCTTAGATGGTATAAATGGTCGTGGCTATTCAGATGTTGAGCTACTGATATTTTGTTTTCTTTTAGGGGTGAGGTTATCAATGGAGGCTTCGGTCTTGTCTTAGACGGATCAGAAGTAAGTGAAGTTGAAGATTTTTTAGGGGTTTGATTACCCAAATGTTCGTGGATGTTTATGATAAATAACTTCTCGTACACATCTGAATAAGTGCTATTGCTGAAGGAACACTAAAGGCCTGTTTATTGGGTTATACCGGCTTGCGCTTTGAGTAACAAATTCTTTCCTCTTTTTTTCCGTTATGTGACAGGAGGCCAGTAAAAGAGCTCGTATGATGTTATCATGGGACGTCAGTAACGGAGTAAGAGAAGACTTGTTTTTTCTAACCCTCAAAAAGTAATGAATTGGTAACGTTGGTAAAATTTTGCTTACTGATATCTGGTATTCAATAGCTTCGTATCTCCTTCCTTTCCCCCGAATACTTAAAATCGTGTCCAGATTGGTGTCTCCATTCTAGAATTTCACCTTTAATGTAGGTCGCTCGCCGCTGTTGGTCAGGGAATCTTCACGCCAAACAAGCCATCT